TCAAGACTGCTCAGTCATGCACTCACTTTTTGCAGGGGATTCTGTAGTATATCTGCTCATGTCTGTTTGCACAACAATCATCAGTATTTCATAAATGGTGGGAAATGTGTGAGAGAGTAGTAGATCTCACAAAGTAGTGTAATGAAGTGGGTATGGCAGAATCTAAACAACAACCAGTACCATACCCATCCACTAATTCCAAATGGTCTATTAGAGGAAATAAAGCTTGCTCCACTCTGGAAAGATATAAATGTAGGTTTATTTATTAATTGTGCATAAGCCATCATGGTCTAATAGAAGACCAATAATGCAGGAAAAGCATGGGAGTACTGGACTAAAACAAGCAAAATAGAAATAAAGTCACAGAAACACAAATTAGCTATTAGTGAAAAGAGACCAAACTATTCCCAAACCACATTAGCAGTGGATAAGTAGGCTGGGAGAATTAAAATAAAGCATGTACATCTACATATACCCAAGTGCATTCATTATTGCATTTAATGTTGTATGTTGGAATTGCCCTGAGTCCCCCTGGGGGGATAAGGCAGAATATAAATAAAGTTTTATTAGCATTAACAAACAAATACTGGTATACTTTTATCTGGAACTCATCACTCCTCCTTTCACGATTAAATCAAAATTTAAATATAACAATCTATTTAAATTATGCCTTAACTTACTTTCATAGAGTGCATCATCTCAACAATCCTGTAAGATATATTAGGTTGGGAGTTGGTGATTCAGTTCATGGTTTGCAGGGATCTCCCTCCTTTTAGTCCAACACCAGCAATTTGGCCAAAAAGTTCTAGTTTGTTCTGGTAAGGAATGCACAAGACAGTCTCCACAGTGCCATTTGAATCAGATCTCTATTGTCTGCCACTCTTCCCTCCGAGCTGTAGCAAGGACAATCCACAGATTCTCCTCCTATGAATCCCATAGTTCTTTCCTTCTATTGAGGTGGTTCAGTGATGCAGTGATTCAGATGTCTACCACAAAGAAGTTCAGGAGCAAGTGAGAAAACTTAAAATGATGCCCATACATGTATACAAAACATGGAATGGAATTCTGTAGCAGCAATGTAGTTAAGTATACTTATCCAATTACCAACAAATGGATACGATATATACTCGAGTATGTCAAGTTTTTCAGCCCTTTTTTTAGGCTGAAAAAGCTCCCCTCGGCTTATACTCGAGTCAAGGTTATTTATTATTTTACTCTGTTATTATTAATATTATTATTACATTGACATTACTTTATTATTATTTTATTAGATTTATTGTTTTACTCTATTTTTATTTTTATTACATTTATTATTTTGTTCTATTTATTATTATTATTGCATTTCCATTATTTTACTTTATTATTATTACTACATTTATTATTATTTATTTTATTCTATTTATTATTATTATTATTGCATGTATTATTTTACTTTTTATTACAGTTACTATTATATTTCCATTATTTTACATTAATATTATTATTATTACATTTCTTATTTTACTCTATTATTATTGGAAGGCTACATAAGCACATTTACATTGAAGAAGATTAGAATAATGGCTTAATCAGAGTTGGACAGTCTTATCTTAAATTACAGTTTTATGTAAATATTCAAAAACATTTAACCTACTGATGCCTCAATTAAAGTCATTTTATTGGGATCTATTTTTATTTTGAAGTTTACCAGTAGTTGATGCATTTCCTACCCTCAGCTTATATTTGAGTCTATGCATTTTCCCAGTTTTTTGTGGTAAAATTAGATGCCTCGACTTATACTCGAGTATATATGGTAATTAACCACATTCTATTGTAGAACTGATGCAGTTCAAAACCACTTTTACTGCCATAGTTCAATGTCATGGAATCATGGGAATTGGAGATTTACAATGTCTTGAGTCTTCTCTGTCAAAGAGTGCTGGTACCTCAACTACAAATCCCAGAACCATATTAACTCTACAATGCAGATATACAGTAAGTAGGGATACTTAACTAAGTAATATCTCTGGGTCTGACTTCTCCAAAGCTGATGGAAACATCATTTACCTTGCTCCGATCATCGATGCATGGATCCCTTTCTCCCCATACAGCTGATGCCTGGGAAAGCAGGATGCACAAGTTATAACTGTGTTGATAGTGTTATAGATGTGAATAAGTAGCCATTGTGAATACAGAATGGTCAGCTATCTCTGCTGATCCATAACTGTTTCATGGCCATAAAATTTAACACATGGGTATTATTCTACTCTACAGATTCCCATCATTTTTTGCTTTTGGCAATGCTGGTAGCTAAGGGTTGATGGAAGTAGCAGTCCCACAAAGTAATGAGGGGAATAAATTTCTCATGGCTGACATCCATGCTCATGTTCTTTACAACAAGAACACAGCCGTGGCTTGAGGTTAACCAAAGTCCTAATACAATCAAATCACCTCCACAAAAGTAAGGCATTTCACCATCCATTTCCTTGGAGTGTAATGGCGAATGCATGTTTTTCCTTCATGCTATGGATTCTAACATAAGTCAAGTAAGGCTGAGGAGGGTGTTTAATCCTATGGGAACACTTTCCTACATCAACCACTTGGTGAGGTGCTTGTCTGTGTCCACCCAAAGCAACATCATTTTTATGATTACATCTGCTCTTGTGATTCATGATCTGATCTCATTATTGGTACTAAGTAAATAGCAGCAGATGCCATAGCGCTACCCAAGGCTGTTTTCTTTTTCTCCTACGCAACAGCTAGCCATTTAACATTACTCAGAACATACCGACCTGTCCTTTTAGCTGCAATGACATCTAAAAAGAGAACCAGCTCTTAGTATTGCTTAGGTCAGAAGGAACCCAACTGCCCATGGGAACATCAAAGGCAAACTGTGACAAGAAGCACAATTGAGATTGATAATACTTCTCCTGAGAGCCAGTGTGGTGTAGTGGTTTGAGCATTGGACTGTGACTGTGGAGACTGGGGTTTGTATCCCATATAAACCCACTGGGTGACCTTGAACAAGTCTCACTATCCCAGCCTCAGGGGATTGCAAAGGCAAATCTCTCTCTCTCTCAATCAATATATATTTCCAAGAAAATCCCATGCAAAGGTTGCCTTAGGGTTGCCATAAATTGTAAACAACTCGAAAGCACACAACATCAAATACCTCCTCTTCAACAGACATATTCTAGACTGTAAAACATGCAACCACCAATTAACACATATACTCACACACTGCAAGTCACTACATAATGAAATGCACATCACATTTTGTTCCAAGAGATCAGGGAATTGTTCATGGAGTTTGTCTGTTGGGGTTTGTTCTCATATCAGTCTTTTGAAAGAACAAGGTCAGAGTTAATCTAAACTGGTGAAGTGAGGTTCAAGAACATGAGTCTTCAGAAAATAAAGATCCAAACACAATTTAATCTAACTATATGGCTCTTCTCCTCTAGTATGTTGAAGGATCTGAAAGCTAACCATTTTAGAAGGAGACATCACTTGATGAAACTTATTATAGGATATTGGAGAGATATATTGCAACACATTGGGTCTTTGAGCTCAAAGGTTAAAGAGTCATATTGCCATAGGATCAGAGACATTTTAAGGTTTAAAAAATAACCAGACAATTCTAAACTTGATACAGAGAAAGATCAGAGGGAGGGCTCGATAAACTGAGGTATAATTCCTGCCTTGGATGAGAGAGAAGCTAGACTGAATTCCCAGGCAAGCCCATGTCCCTGGGGAAAGAGAACCACAGGAAAGGTCATTGCTCAGTGGTTCGACACATGACTTGCGTGCACAAGGTCCTAAGTTCAATTCTCTGGAATCTCCATTTAAAGGAAACCTCTTTTACTTAAAAGTTGTTTAAATGTTTTAAAATGAACCGATGCTGTGACTCATTATATGGCTGGTATGTATATGACTCTGTGTGTGGGGGGGGGGGGGGATACCAATGTGGCAATTCATCATAGAAAGATTGTGCGTATACCCTCTTCCTTGGCAGCGAGGATTGTATAAGCACAAGTGTGGAGAAAGAAGGAAACACAAAATATTGAATATAACGAGTAGTAAAATCACAAGGTAGATATATAAAAACAATGGATTGGACACTACTTAAAGACTATCTGAAAGAGATTAAAATCAACATGAAGATATAAAATAAATATGATGGATGATTTAACAAAAAAAACAGATGGAGAAGGAATAGATGTTAATATACTATCAGAAGGAATAATTTGTAACCACAAAGAAGAAGATTGGAAAGACCAACTAAAAATACTCCTTTTTTTCTTTCTTTTTTCCCTCTCTTACGTCTCCTTCTTCCACTTTTTTTTCTTTTCTCTTTTTGTGCCTCTTTTTTTTGGAGGCTATTTTAACTCTCACTGTATTAAAAAAACACAATAAAAATCTTTTTTTACAAGAAAGAAAGATTAGTGTAGAACTGGGAGTGCTGGACAGAACAAAAGGCTGCGTGAATAATTTTTAATATCCACTGTTATGCTACATGTTGTGGATCATTTTCTCAAAAGTTCTACTGTGGTGCCAGTGAAATCTCTTTTTAGTGCAATTTGAACAACTTTTTTTTTTGCATAATCTATCTTTAAGTCTGTAAAACACTGAATATACTGTTGACATTACCTGCATAATAAATTTGATGGATCCAGCAGATGTTTCTGGTTGACTTTACTGGGAACTCTTTAGATTCTGTTTTCCCTCATTCTTGGAGAAAATGTCCTAATTTTAACCGTCTTTCTGGTTCAGTGGCCAAAACCAAGACTGAAATAGCTTGCCTGCAAACCTCAGAAGAGCTTTTGAATACTTCAATTTGTGTGCCGATCCAAATGCATTTTCTCAGGATTGTTTTTATGAAACTGTACAACTGAAAACCTTCAGGGCTAATACTTTTAATAGTCTGGTTTTTTTCAAGGTCTAAGGGGGTTCAGAAAGAGGAATACTGACTGTCACAAATAAATATTCAAGTCCTCTCTCTCTCATTTATTCCTCCACTCCAGAAATATCAGGAAACATTAAAAATGGCAAGTGATATGTCCAGTTGCTATCACTGCATGGTTTCTCTTTGTGGAAAGCAGTTTGCCATGAAAGAAGATCACCCTTACTGTGTGAAGTGCTATGACAGCCTCTTTGCTAACTTCTGTGAAGACTGTAAGAAGCCTATTGAATGTGACTCCAAGGTAAGACAATGGTGGGGTATTTTCACAGTCTTTAGCTCAACTGAAAAAGAAACATGGCATGCTCTTCAGAGCCCAGAACTTCTTTGGTGGCCTTCCTTTGGAGGGGGGGGGGACGGGGAGTAATAATAGTTCCTAATTCCTGGGAAAGAATAATAGCAGCTTGTGGGTTTATTGATCAATGGGCCAATAATCCCACGTGAGGTTTTAGGGCCCTTCCACACAGCCCTATATCCCAAAATATCAAGGCAGGAAATCTCACAGCATTTGCTTTGAACTGGGTTATCTGAGTTCACACTCAGATAATGTGGGATTTTCTGCCTTTATATTCTGGGATATAGGGCTGTGTGGAAGGGCCCATAGTCTGAACTTTAAAAGATCTATCTAAGATGTTTCATACTATCCCCAAAATAGATGCGACATCTCATGTAGAATTTTTAAGGCTCAAGATGGATTGATCATCTCACTACACAAAAGTTGTTTAATTCCATTAAACTCACCTAGATGTATACAATGTTGATTATTGGTAAGGACAGGATCACTGTAAGGAAAGTATTTGGAGAACAACCCTTTTAAAAAGCACCATCAAATATCCTGCATTGACTAGTAAATTAAATATACGTAACTAAGTAACGTCCTTTGGTCTGGCCCTCTTCCCATTGTAATCCCTCCATGATAGCCAGCAGCCGCATCAGTCAAAAGAGATCTGCTTAGCTGCCAATCAGAGCTCAAGGACAATGACATGCTCACTCTCTTCCCATTATCAAATGAGGCTGTGATGATCAAAAGATGGACTCCCTGTAGCAATTTCTCATCACAGTTTCACTTGCTGGTGAATGGAACTGGGAACACCATCCTCCTTCATGTGCTGGGCAACCTTTATGTCCTCTTACAGTCATATTCAGTTTTAGAGAATATGGAATGGTTAGAGATCTGTAACTCTAGCCTATAAAATCATAAGAGAGAGAGAGAAAGAGAGAGAGAGAGATCTGGTGATGTAACCGTGGGGGTGGCATTTGTCGCCCTAGGGCTGAGAGCGGCGGTCAACAAATGCAGCAAATAAATAAATAAAAATAAATTTGGCCTCAGACCTGTTAGCAATAGCAGGAAAGTCCTTCCTCATCTAGCTAGCCTCACTGCTGACTCATTGCTGGTTTGTTAGATGTAAGAGATGAGGGAGAGGGAGGACTCCATTATTTAAAGCCGCCTGCAGCTTTCAAGTACTTGATTGAACACAATTAGCTGTTGTGATTCATTAAGTTATCTGTTATTGGTTATAAGTTATTGGTGTCTGTATGGGAGAGAAATTGAAGTCAGTAACCCTTGTAGTTGTTTGGGGAGGGGAGGATGCAGTCCTCTTTGGAGAAATCCCTGTTGCTGGTGACTCATGGCACTGCTGCCCACCATAAATTCTTAACAGACTGTTTAGTATTTTTCAGTCAGAAGCTACTTAAGGATGAACCAACTGTATGGAACAGGGGAGTGATACACTGATACAGAAGCTGCATTTTTGAAAAACAAAGCAAGAGAAATATACCCGCTTGATGAAACTTAAATCTACAGAGAGGGCATATAAAATGACTATCAGAGCTTGTAAATAAAATTTCCCAGAATTTCCCAGAATTTCCCAGAGTTCCCAGAATTTCCTCCCCCCATGGACATTGGTCAACTTCGCTGTGGGATTGCCATAATTATAGTTCAAGAAAGCAAAAATTGACATCTGGTCAGTCATCTTCAATCTGACTCCTCTGGAGGGAAATTCTTAACATTCTCTAGGTCAGTGGTTCTCAACCTGTGGGTCCGGAGGTGTTTTGGCCTACAACTCCCAGAAATCCCAGCCAGTTTCCCAGCTGTTAGGATTTCTGGGAGTTCAAGGCCAAAACATCTAGGAACCCACAGGCTGAGAACCACTGCTCTAGATATATGTGGTATATTGCTGGGGATGATGGAAGTTGTAGTCTGCCATCTCTTGAGAGAGCACTGGTAGAGGAAAGCTGCATTAGACTATAACTTGTGAAATTTATCTCCTGGAGAGATACAGAGGTTTTAATGGTTAGCAAACTCCCTGCAGACCTGTTAGGATGAGCATCATCCATCATCTGAATGCAGCAGCCTTATATATAGAGGGATGTTAAATTGTTGCATTAACCTCAATATAATATCCTAGTATCTTTAATATCTGGCGTTTTTTTAAAAAAAATACAGCAAGTCGCATTATTTTAAGAACTCATTCCAGAGAGATTGCAGTGCTGATTTCTTTTTCTATCCTGGGTTTAATTCAACTGATAAAATCAGCAAAATTTTTAAAACAAATTCCACTGACAAGTAACCGATGAAAAACGACTTCCCTTAGTCTGTACTACAGATGGTCTCCACTGTAACCGCCGAGATTCAAGGGAAGTTTTACTACAAAATAAATGACATTTATCATTTTTATGTAATAACACTGTCTCTACAAGCAAGATATCTCCAAAAATGTGTTTGGATTAAAATATTTTATTCACTAAATGACAACTTAATTTTGTTGTTTATCTCTCAGTGTCTCTTCACTCATCACAGGAACGACATATTCTGGGAAATGGAAACAATCAAGAGAAAACAAACTTTAAACTTGTTTGGATTTGTTTCTATTAATTTTTTTCTCCCATATCTCAGGCTAAATTTTCTATAGATCAATCTATACACCAACAGAGCCTGTAAACAAGATGGGGACCTGCTCTTTCTTTTGATTTTCATACTGTGTTTTCTGTGGCTGATAGGAAAATGGTAAATTGGACCAGTTTTCACCTCTTGGGATGCATCTGCACTGTAAACTTAAATCAGTTTAGCACTACCTAAACTGTATTGGCTCAATACTATAAATTCAAGGCAGCTGCAGGCCACGAAATGGATGAAAGATCAATTTTGACAAGGATTCTCAAGCCTGCAATTCGTAGGCCTCGTAATTTGATTCTCTCCAGCGGGATTTCTTTCAAGGAATCAAATGCTTTTTGTTAATCTACAATTTCTTATCTTGAAGGATCTTGCTTATAAAGGCCGCCACTGGCACGAAGGGTGCTTCAAATGTGCCAAGTGTACTCAGTCTTTGGTAGAGAAGCCTTTTGCAGCCAAAGACGAGCTCTTGCTGTGTACAGAGTGTTATTCCAATGAGTATTCATCCAAGTGCTTCCACTGCAAGAGAACCATTATGCCAGGTAAGAGAAAAAAATCCATCAGAGAGTGGTCAGGATTGCAAAAAAAAAAAGGGAACACACAAGCTAGGAAAGACTGCAAGAACTTTTTCCCCCTCTGAGTTCATTGGGAGGTGCTATATTTCACCCCTCTTCACCTTTCCTCCTTGCTTGGTTAATTGAGTGCAAATTACTTGTGTGATTTATAATTGTGTAATCTGTGCCACTCCTTGGTGTCTGTATGGGAGAGAAATTGAAGTACCCTTTGTAGCGGAGTTTGGGGAGAGGGGGGTACAGTCCTCCATACCTCAAATTATAATTGGAATGCCAATTATGAACCTCCCCAACAGTTCTGAACTAACTTTGATCCTACTACTTGAGAAATGACATGAGCAAATAGTATCAGTTTGAAGACTGGAAAAACTAAAATTTGCTAGCTTAATTGTTGTTCCTGAAAGGCCGGTGACTTGTTTCCCTGCAGCCAGTCACATTTGCATGAATCATGCCCTGCACTTGGAATATATGTCACTAGTCAATGTTATATAGTGATTAAAGTACTAGAGTGGGAACTAGTAGACTGAATTCAGTCTGCAACAATTGAAGATGGCTCTCACTTTCAGAGAGCACTGTGACTCCCGCTAACAACTAATCTGGACCGAACTTGGGACACACACCTCCCCCCCCCCCACAACCAAGAGAAAATGTTGATGGATTTTTTTGGGAGGTGATGAATCCCTAGTGGGGTTTGTGGGGATGGACCCAGGACAATGGGAGTTGCAGTTCGCCCAGATCCAAAAACCACTGTGAACCCCACTGATGAGGGATCTGGACCAAACCTGGCACAAATAGCCAAGATGACCAACTTTAAGTACTGGTGGGGTTTGGTGTGGGATAGACCTGGAGAGATGGGAGTAATGATTTACTCATATCCTTCTGAATTTTCTGATGTGACAGTTCATAAATTCCATAAACAAACAAAGACTTTTTAAATAAACAGTATTACAAATTACCCCAGGTATGAAAGCTAGTTTTAAATAAAAATATTTAAAATGGGACAACAGAATTAATTGTGATGGTTGCTGTCAAATCAGGGGAGTTGGAAAGTATGCAGTCCTTATATAATATTAGGAAGGCTCAAGGCATAAGATCAATGTTGGCCCTCCCAATGTTCCCAGTGTGGTCTCCTTGACCCCATCATTTGGTTGCTCCCCAGTTTTTGTGTGAGTGTATGTTCTATTCTATTATCTGAAAATGGTTCTCTTGAGGCTTAGTTACTAGCAATGAGAACTGTAAAATAAAGCATGCTGATATCTGAATCCCATACTTTTTGGCTTCTCCAACCCCTTATAGCAATGTGACCCAGTAAACATCTCTGAAATTGATTTTGGCTCTCAGGCGAAAAGAGGTTCCTCACCCTTGAGTTTAACATTTGATGGAGTTTGCTATTACAGCACCCCTAGTTTGATTGCTGTAACCTGTAAACTCACACACTTGCAGCTAATTTTGGATCATTTTGGACAGCTTAGGGACTAAAAATCACCCCAAAAATCAACATAAAAATGCACCAAACTATGGGGGAGGGGGTTGGGAGCTTTGTAGGGCTTCAAAGGCTGCAGTTTGGGATCCTAAAAGCTTCGTGTGACTCATGGTCACACCTCACTCACCCTTGGCCTAATAGATCTTAATGAGCACCTCCTCACTGGAAATTGAGCACTCCTAATTAATCTGCTCTAATGAGATTCACAATCCATAAACCCATTTTTAATTTTTTTAAAATCAGGGCTGAGCTATCCCATGTCTGCTTTTAGAAAGTGGCAGATGGGGAGTGGAGAGCCAGGACCTTATGGCATCTCTGGTCCCTTGTGGAGATCTATTGACATCTGCCATCTTTTGAGCATCTGAGGGCATCCAGATACCGTCTGCCTGTCTATGAGGGGGAAAAAATAGTTATTTTACTGTATTGCCTGGTTTTCAGCCACAAAGTGGACTTCCCAGCAAGAGGAATTGAGAAACAGCCCTTTCATGGCTTTTTGAACAGCATGTTTAATGAGCTTATTTCAGAGCAATGGCTGGCTCAGATCATAGCATATCTTTGGCAATTTTCCCCTAATACTTTAAATGGGATGAAACAGAGGATAACAAGCTCACTAAAAATGCCTACTGGTGCAGGTAAAGTATAGTGATGAATTCATTTGTGGGCCATACAGTGATGCTAAAATGCAATCAAGCAGTCACAATTCTCCTAGTTTTAAGTCTCAAAAAAGTGCTTAATTCACTCAAGAACACTTTGTCTGAATTTTATGCCTCACAGGACACACAGGAGCTGATTAGAGCTTCAGTGTTTTGTTGTTACATGATGTTACAGGATACAAGAGAGCTATTCTCATGATCTGTCTTCCTCCTCCATCTGGGTCTTGAGGCTTTCCTTGTGTGGCTGTTTGTTTCTTTCCTGCCTTTGGATGAAAGGAAGCTGAACATATCTAAATAACACAATAAGTTATGCATATAAATGTATACTTTCATAAACTTATACTTTCGTTTAAAGCAGTCTCACTGCCTAGAGCACTTCCCGGGACCACTTTCATAAACATCATGTCCACTTTAGACCCAGCTATCAAAGGTGTGAGGGAAATTAAAGGTGTAACATTAATGTTCCCATTCAAAATCCAACATGGAAGAAGATAGCCCAATCCCCCTGGGACCAGGCATGAAGAAGACCTACTTGTGTTCCCACCAAGCATGGCTCTGAGGGTAAAAGTCCCATGCCTTGGGAGATTGTAAACCTGGGCAGGCTGCAATGGATACATATGATCATTCAGATAACCTGGACCTGAACCATACAGAACTGCACAGGTTATGATCTGCATTATAACTAACATAGGCCCTGAAAAACATGAAGTTGTGCACATTCTGTAACTCACCAAAGTCAACAATCTAGATGCCGCATTTTCAAGTGACTATGATTTTGAACACTTTCCAAAAGCAGCTCAAAGTAGAGTGTTATTGCAAACATAGAATCATTAAATCATAGAGTTGAAAGAGACCTCATGAGCCATCCAGTCCAGCCCCCTGCCAAGAAGCAGAAAAATCGCATTCAAAGCACCCCTGACAGATGGCCATCTCACCTCTGCTTAAAAGCCTCCAAAGAAAGAGCCTCTGCCACACTCCACGGCAGAGATTTCCACTCCTCAACAGCTCTCGCATTGCACAGTGTGCAGCCTTTCAAAAAGTGTGATATTGAAAACTTCCAATTAACTAATACGTTCAGATTTGGAAAGTGTATTCATTTCACTAATGTTTGCTGCTCACTAAAGGTGTTGTTTAGTGCCTTCAAGCAGTTTCTGATTCTAAGGAGACCCTATCATTAGGATTTCTTAGCATAATACTTTTCCTTCTTATATACAAGCTGTTCTTATATCCTAGCATTAATTTTGTATTGACCTTTTGTGCTTCACCAAAACCAGACTGGACTGGAGCTACAAATGTACTCAATAACTGATGGTTTTGCATGACTCAATAATGAGTGAGGCAGAAGAAAAGCCTCAATGATTATATCTATTTTACTACTATGTGTAATTAGCCAATAACCAAACTGGATTTGCAATTTGATTCGCAGGTTCACGTAAAATGGAGTTTAAGGGAGACTGTTGGCATGAATCTTGCTTTGTATGCCAACATTGTCAACAACCACTAGGAATAAAGCCTTTAATTACCAAGGATGGTGACAATTATTGTGTGCCCTGCTTTGAAAAGCAATTTGCTCAGCATTGTTACTCCTGCAAAAAGGTAACATGACCAACACATTTACGGGCAGCAGGGTGGGATGTTCATTATGATGGATTTATTGCAATTGGATAGGGAATGATGAAACTGATTCCAAGATCCCTGATCTGGATACCATACAAAGAAAGGGATTCTAAACCTATTCCCTCTTGAAAGTATATTATCCCATTTTTACGGAAGAGGGTTTTGAATACAACCAATTTCATGGCATACCACGTACTGTAAGCTATATTTCAGAGGAAGTAACTGACAAAACCACCTCTGAGTATCCCTTGCTTAAGAAAACTATTGAAATCCATGGGGTCACCATTGCTTGACAGATGTTTGAAGGAACACGCACTCCTAGCCATGTGTATGAGGGTGGATGGGAGTGTACACCAAAAATGTAACATTTCCCATTTCTGGCCATTTCAGTGAAAGAACTAACAATATATCCCAGAATCTTGCATATTGCACCAAGCACACATAAACTTTAAAGCAACACACTAATGTGCACTTCCATTTTTTTTCCTTCCCACTTGCCATGATTGTCTACATTTGGATAAGGTAATCATGATTCCCTTTTAAAGTGCCACATAGTTTATTGCTGTTATAATTATGAAGAGCAAAAGGTTTGGTAAAATGAGAGTTGATTATGGTGCTAAGGGTCGTTTTTATAATAAAAGGCATTCCCTCAAAGAAGCCATACCTCTAATATACCCTCCCAAAAACCATTTGCCAAAAAATAGTTTTCCTTCCTGCAAAAATGTCCTCCGGGGTCATGGGGTAATTTTCTGGTGGTTTTGATACCTCTGTCTTCATGCTGGTTTAGGCACAGGAGAGATTTTTCAAGCAAGAAGGAAGCTGACATCTCGTTTTGGAAAAATGGCATCTTCCACCTTAAAACTATCTAGTCAGTTCCAAAACAAAGCAAAATTGCCTTGTAGGACATCCTATGGTCCCGAGGGGTGTGTTGGAGTGTGGGCAGCCCTTGCAAGTCCAAAGAGGAGACAAAGGGTCTGCCTTGAAGCCCCTGCAGCAGCTGTGTTCCTGGTGCCATCTCTAATGGAAAGAAAGCAAAGCGTATGGATATAAAAGAAAGATTCTCTGACCTAATTCAGCTGTTAATCCAAAGTAAAATAGACACATTAAATCAATGGACACTTTGCAAGTTACCACATAGACCTCTTCCATTGATTCAAAAGATCTATTCTACTTTGGACTAAGAGCTGGATTGAGGCCTCCACAGAGACATGCTCAGAAAAATGACTCCAAGACAGGACTGATCTTCAGTATTTCTCTTTTTTTAAGAAACTAACTAGGGACTAATAACTAGTATGGATATATCTTAGTTAATGAAGTAGATGTGTTCTTGGGTATTATTTCTTTAACTGAAAATTTGGTACCAATGGCAGAAATTACTTCTACAAAAGGAAGAGTGTGTTTCAGCTAACTTTTTATTCAAAACCAACATTTTGCACATGTGAAATGAAACAGTCAGGTAAAGTAAGCGTTGCATAAGTAAAAAAAAAAAACATTTCAAACTTTCTAGGGACCGGCTGAAGGCTTCTTCCAAAATGCATCAATTGATTATTTTTTTCACCAACCTCCAGTTTTTGTATTATTTCTATTTTGGTGGACAGACATATAGATTTGAGTTTCTTTAAAGCAGGCATGGGCAAAGTTGGGCCGTCCGGGTGTTTTAGACTTTAGGAATTGTGGGAGTTGGAATCCAAAACATCCAACTTTGCCCATGCCTGCTTTAAATGCGAGCTTGTTTTTCTGCTCACATATGCTCAGTAAGGATTCTGGAGGCAGCTGTTGTTTACTTTTTGTGTTGCAGACACATATGGACACAGCAGGACTCGCTAGAATATATCCCTGTTCTTTTTCCAGCTTAAGCTTTATTGCATTGTTTACTGCAGAAATACTGCTGCGGCCTAACACAAAGTTGGTGTTTCACTATCCTCCAAAGGTCAACATTCCTTTTTAAAAAAAAACAAAAAAACCTTCCAGCTAGAAAGAGCATGAAAAGGAAAATGGGCCTGGACAGTAGGTGTGAAAAGTCTGAAAATGTTTTTTTTTTCTTTTGACAGAGACTTTGGAAATGTAGGTGTGACTGTGTTGTCTTTAATTTCAAAGGTTAAAACTATTACTCGACTCATCAGTTTTTCGTAATATTCTCTTCTTAGGTGATAACTACCGGTGGTGTGACTTATCATGACCAGCCATGGCATAAAGAATGCTTCCTTTGTCATGGATGCAAGAAGCAGCTAGCAGGACAGCGGTTTATTTCCAAAGATGAACAGCCTTACTGCCTTGAGTGCTTCAGCAGGTGTTATGCAAAGAAATGCACAGCCTGCACCAAGCCCATTACAGGTAATTTGTACCTGGCCAATTGTTGGTGCTCTGCATGGAATTTGACAAAAACAGCACTAAAAACAATCTGTTGTAGCCATTGGGGATGTTTGCACTTCTTATGTCAGCACTGCTAACATTTGTGGACTGGGCGCTTAGCCAGAAATCTTATTGGCTGGTATACTTGTTGCTGCTAGAGACAGGTGGCAGTTGGGACAAAATGTGGGCATTTTGATGAAAATCATCTCTTGTTGGGAGAGAAAGCTGTCTGTTGGTTTGTGAGCTGATTGGGAGCCAGTAGGAAGTCTCTGATGGCTATAGATAGCTTTCTATGCCATCCCTAAGAAACCAATACACAATACTTGGAAATGCCTTACTCTGGTATAGTGAACTGGCAGAGGGTACAAACAGGAGTCTGGCCTTAGCAGAGGCAGTTCATGGATGCCATGTTAGTGAGACAGAAGATCTACTCTGTTTTAAATCTGAACTTTGAGCTACCTAAGGCACTGAGTCTAGGCCTTTAAAATTCAAAATAACCCAGAAGAGAATCACTACTCCACTGACATAGAATCCATCAGTCATCACTAGCCCTAAGAATATGAGTGGCAAGCCATCACTGTCATTGAAGTAGATTATATATAGTTATAAGTGACATTATCTCTATATCATGAGATCTGGGCGAGTACTAAACGTGATGTCACATGAGGAAATTGCACACTTGCACAGAGATTCTGATATCATTTAATATTGACATCCTGTTGAACACTTTAAAATGTGTAAGACTTCTTGTCCTCGTGTGCTTTCATGTTTTTTCCAACTTATGGCAACACTAAGGTAAACTTATTGCAGGGTTTGTGTGGCTAAATTATGAGGTTGAGTGTGATTTGCTCAAGGTGACAAAGGGTTTCTATGGTCAAGTGAGGATGCAAATCCTGGTTTCCAGAATGGTCTCCATTAGTTGAATCACCCTGTTGCACATTTTTAACTGTTCTTTATTCAAGTTTACAATGACAACATATTACCACAATCAGAAATCCCTCCGCAACTTGCCCATAACAGGTAGCAGGCACATCAAGAGAAGGAACTGCTCTCCTGGGGACTGGAGAACAGCAAGATGTTTCTACCTGGTTCTCACCAGGGCTCTCAGGTGCAGCAATCAAAAGTGGGACCTCTATCATAATTCCTCATCACTTGTAGAAGGGAGCTGGAAATGCCATAGCATTCTAACTACCAGCATTAGGAGAATATATATATATATATATATATATATATATATATATATATATATATATATATATTCTCCTAATGAGGGTCACTGTGTGTGTGTGTGTGTGTGTGTGTATGCGCGCACGCACACACACAGTATGACCCTCATACTCATAGAACTGGTACTTGTGGCTTCACCTACCCACATCTGATGATATATAAACACAAACAGGTTGCTTCCCTGTTTAGATCTAAGTACAACTTGTTTCTCTGTGCTGCTTAGGAAGCACATTGAGGATTGGGCAGGCAATGACCTCTCAGCCCAAAAACAAGGACTTCCAGACCAATCCACTTCTAAATGTGGAGTTGTGCAGAAAAGATGGGTGGAGTATAGACAGTTATCATTGGTTAAGTTGCATGAAAGCTGCTGGTCTTGCTACATAAATGTGTGCTCTGGTAACATAGCAGTACAAATGGACAGCCAGGCCTTCAAGAATTACAATCTACAGAATTGTCTGAAGCATAACCAGCTGCAAATGAGACTTTCTCCTTCCCTGCCTTCCTCCGCTGCAGAGAGCATCAGAAATATTTCTTTCCGAATACAATTCAAACACTTCCTGTACATGCAATCTGTACATATACTTCAGAGAGTCCTAAAGCACTCTATATTGTAAGGAGTGGATTGATGGGAGTCTAAATGCCTTATCTGTCATGAAAGCTATATATAGCATTTTGGCTGTGTTATGTTGGAAACCTCTAGCTCTGCTCTCCAACTTTTTGATTCTGAAAGCTGAAGAACAGATCTTGCCAGAAACAGAAGGGAGAAACTGGTTTATGTATTTGTGTTTAAATGGCTGGTAATGAAATGCTTGGCAAACACTCAGAAGCAGTTTAAAAGTACTTTACAACCATTAGCTGGATCTCTTAAAATAAATTGAATGACCTCTAGCCCCAGTTACAAGAAATAAGATTGCCAATTAATTAATAATCCTGACATTCAAAAACAAAAGACAGACAGACTAGAAAATTCAATCAGCTATGATGACCTAACCCTTTTGCTTCCCCTCCTTTTCTGACATAAAGCAGGATTTCATATATAGGAAAGATAATTTCAAACAACCTGGCACTAATTTTCCTCAGTTTTGAAGAAATTGACTTTTGGGCATAATTTACAATTAAAGTCTGCAGTGAAGTTTTAATTAGATTTTATGAAATATAAATCCACAAGCATGTGGACAGTTTCAACAAAAAAAGAAGAAACGATGAAAATGAACAAAATATGTCTATCAATATATTTTTTTAAAAAACCCCTCTAAAATCAGAGCAGCAAATAAAGAACAACACTCAAAAAAGGGGAATTCCAGACAAGAAACAATCAGGGTCAGCTAATCACCTCCCAACAAAGGATTCCCCCAGACAGTAAGAAGCCAGACCTTGAAACTACTAGGCCATTAATGCTAATCAAGGTGGCCAATTACAACATGCACACCTACCTCAAACAGACAAGAGTCATTCTCCCACTTTGGACATTCCACAGATATATAAACCCCACTTGTCCTTTAACAGACCTCTGTCCTTTAACAGACCTCACAACCTCTGAGGATGCCTTTCATAGATGTGGGTGAAACATCAGGAAAGAATGCTTCTGGAACATGGCCATACAGCCTGGAAAACTCACAGCAGCTCAAATATAAAACCCTTTCTATATGGATAAGTATTAGAAAGACCTGCTATCTAGATTGTAGACATGACTCTTTGGGGAAAATCAGGTTGGAAATCTGATACATCACTTATTTCCCTGTCCTTTGTATGCACTTCAGCCTTCAAGTAATTTCTGACTTATGGTTACCCTGAGACAAACCTTTCACATGATTTTCATAGCAAAATTTGTTCAGAAAAGCTTTGCCCTTGCTTTCCTCTGATGCTGAGACATCCAAGAGTTTCTATGGCAGAGCAAGAATTGAAACCCTAAACTCCACTTGTCAAATCACTACATAACACTGGCTCTCATAGAATGACAGACAAACAGATAAATAGGAGTGAGGGAAAGACAGAGATTGTGATTGGGAGAGATAATTAGCAAAAACACAATTTATCCATTTTAGAGCCTGTGTGTGTTGTGGATGATAACTCTACATGTTGTATTGTCAAATAGCCAGAATACCTGGGTATTTCTGGCAGCTGTAATCCAAAAAAGGGGGGAAAAAACCATTTTCTGAAGGCTGTTCCCAGGGGGTCATAGCTCAGCATCATATCACATGTGTTGCAGTGATATGGGATTATATTACTTGTTTCAACAAAAAAATAGTGCCGTTGTTGATTTTCAGCTACATGAAATTCATGTTTTTTTCAGGAGAAATGTGAGAACTTTGTTGATTAGAGCACGAGCTGAATGCCTTTGTGATCTGCAGAAAAGCACACATGCAATTTCACTTCTTGGTCCCTGCTTTCTCTTTCCAGCTCTCGCGGGAGACAAATTTATCTCGTTTGAGGATCGCCACTGGCACAGTGACTGCTTCAAGTGTGGGAAGTGTTCCAGCTCCTTGGTGGGAAAAGGCTTTCTGACCCACCAGGAAGGCATCCTTTGCTGCAAGTGTGGAAGCACCACATAGCTTGAGGGAACCCACAGCTCCCCAGACGCCTGCCAGCCAAGTATAATGGTTGTTTATTTGCGCAAATCACTGTTCCTTCGCAGCAGCAGTTAGATTCTGTGTAACTACTTTAAATAGCCCTTGTTCTTGTTAGGAAAACAACTTCCAATATGTATTAACTTGGAAGAATTTGTAGTCTCTCTTGCTTTTCTTGGAGGAGAGTGCACTCTGCTGTTTGAAATACAGGGATGTATGGTTTTGCTGTACATCCAAATTCTATTCAAAACTGGCTGTAAGATAGCTTGGCTGAAGAAACAGAAAACGGGACTTCTCCAAAAGAACATTATGCAACTTTTTCTGACACCATCTTTGTCCTTCCTAAACCAGTGCCAACAACAAGAAATTAGGTTGGACAGGCCAAAAACAGGGGGGGGGGGGGRGAGAAGCACAGCAAAAAAGGAAGTTATACTTAGCTGCATCTAGGGATGCCTTTTATACCACCTCAGAATCAAGTCGTACTACAGTAAATGTCATATGGGAGTTCTATAGATGTTGCACCAACCAGGTGGATGCCTTGTTCCTTTCCCAAAATCCAGTCGCTAGGTTTGTGTGTCAAGGTCTGTATTGAGAATGCAGGAGATTTGCAGCAGAAAGAGCTGCTATTTGCTTTGAAATGGAACAAGTGCCTGCATTGTATATATCATTGTGTATATTTATGTGGCCAGTGGCAGTTTTAGGGGTCAATGGAAATTATTCATCAGGAAATTAATAAGCGGGGAAAATGTTAAATCTCAGTTTCCAACTTCACCGAAACCCCTTTCAATGGTCATCCAGCCTATGACTGCATTTGATGTAGTGGCCATGGAAAGGCATAGGGAATATTAGGAGCATCATAAGCTGCCATTGATAATGTAGGAGGTCCAATGAGAAGCTTGTCGAGGCTTCAGTCCTATAGCCAGTTACCTGAGATTATAGAACAAATCTTTCCAGTCCGTCCGTCCGTGTCCCCCCCCCCCAAACAACAACCATGATAGGATCACCATGGGTCAAAAACAATTTGAAGGCACACCACCACCATCACAACAAATTCTCTAGTGATTGCTTTTAAGTGTGAAATATAAAATATTTTTCTCCTTACTTCAAATACTCATACATGCCTTGTTTGAGTGTAGTTTGTTGCAAAGGAGGTTTTATGGCATGTATTCCAAACCAAAGCCCCTACTCTTGACATGGAGAAGGTAGGCTTATACCTGCTTTCTTCTGCAGGTCTTTTGTTGTTGTTAGAAACCCCAGTAATGTAACAAGGCATATAAGCCAGAAACTAATGGCTCAGATACTTTCAAAAAGGAGAAAATGCTTATTAATGATGGCATTTTCATTTATATCTTCTCCTATAAATAGTACCTAGTTTACAGGTTTCACTGAAAGGATTTCAATCAACTATGGTCAGTCACTTATGCTATTCCAGCAAAGGCTCAAGTTCTGTGTTATCAGCTGTATTATTTTGCTCACCTGCATAAAGCTAAGATGTATCACAATCCACACTACATCAGTAATGGTGAAGTTGCCTATTTGCACCTACGTACTGGGCTATGTCTGGATGCCCAACCACAGTCTCCCAAAACAGTTGCTCTATTCCGAACTCAAGAATGGAAAATGGAATGTTGGAGGACAAGAAAAGAGATTTAAAGACGGGCTCAAAGCCAACCTTTAAAACTCTGGCATACACACTGAGAACTGGGAAGCCCTGGCCCTTGAGCGCTCCAGCTGGAGGTCAGCTGTGACCAGCGGTGCTGCAGAATTTGTAGAGGCACGAATGGAGGGCAAAAGAGATAAACGTGCCAAGAGGAAGGCGCGTCAAGCCAACCCCAACCGGGACCACCTTCCACCTGGAAACCGATGCCCTCACTGTGGGAGAAAATGCAGATCAAGAATAAGGCTCCACAGTCTCCTACGGACCCACTGCCAGGATAATACACTTGGAGGACCATAATCTTCAGACTACAAGGGATCGCCTAAGTAAAAAAGTAAGTAAGTAAGTATGTGCCTTCAAATCACCTGTAAACCTATGGTAACCCCATGCATTTTACAGGATTTTCTTAGGCAAGGAATACTTAGAAATGATTTTGCCTGTTCCTTTCTTGGAAATATAGCTATGGCACATGTATTCATTGGCAGTCTCCCACCCAGGTACTAACTGGAACTGACCTTGCTTAGCTTCCAATATCAGGTGTGATCTAGCGCTCTTAGGACCTACCTTTGCATTCTCCTTGCCTGACAACTCCATCTGCCTACTTATACTATTTCTCCTCTCTACAAGGCTATCAGTTCTCAGAAACAGAACTAGGTTACAAGGCCTAAAAATAAAAATCACGGATGGAGATGCATGAGTTCACTCTTTTATAAGAACTGAATGCACCCGCAAATGCCAGACAGTTGAAATGTGTGACCTGAGAACCAAAATTAGAACTCACGGGAAATCATTGTATTGGATCACTTTTCACACACTTTTTTTAAAAAAAATTAAATTTTGTACACGGTCTCTCTTTAAAGAATAATAACTAGACATTTTTTGCTTTTTAAAGAAGGCTCAATTTATGACAAAATTATGTTTCCTACTGAGAAACAGGATACCCTTACGATTTATACATAAGGTTGACTTATACATGATCATATCCAATAGTTCCCCCCCCCCCCATCCCAAATATTCACAGCAATTACATTGTCTAGTTTGACTCATCGTTACCATCTTAAACTTTTCCCTTCTAAGGGAAGATCCTTAGATGGGTCTGAATCCATATGAATTTTATGGGGAAGTTTGGTGCTTTTGGCCCATGCAGTACAGGTTCCCTGTTCCTGTCTTAAATGGTACTTGCAACCATTATCAGCAGTCACAGTTTCTATAAATGGGTTTCCAGCCAACACTACTTCTTTGTCCAATGTCCTAGCCCAAGCATACAGCATAGCTTTCTTGTTTTAGAATAAGTTATCAAACAAGTTCCACTTGTTGAAATTCCCACTTCTGCAAAAAACTATTAAAGGTACAGGAGCCCCACCCTGTTTTTCACCGGGCAGTGCTAATGTACAAAGAATTATGTTCCTGAAGTGATGCCTTTGTGTAGCATTGTGGCTAATGTATTCATCCTAACATCAAATACTGTAATCCTGTCGAAATGGAAATTTTGAAATTAAAATATAGGAAGCACAGAAATGTCTCAATGTGCAAGAAAATGTCCATTATTTCTGGAATTTTCTTCTTTTTCACCCCATATCTGTGCTTTTAGCAACTGCAGCCATACATCTATAACACAATCAGATATGGTAGCTTTGTTGCTCTAAAAGTAAGAACACGGAGATGTCTCTTTATGTTCAATGAGACACATGCATAGATACTAGAGAGTAATATTCACAGTTAAAACCATGACTAACATTCACGAGTTTGTATATCCAGGCCCCAGTCATACATCTCTATTTGTTCCTTAGTAGAAAATACTAAGGAAACTGACAGAATTATTCTGCTGTGGCAGAATTAAAAAATTCATGATGGAAATTGAATCTATCATTGCATGAATCAAGCACTGGGCCTTCCATGATGACTACACAAGGACACTGTTATTGTTGTATGCCTTCATGTCCTAAGGATCACAGGCTTTCATTGGCAAGATTTCTTCAGAGGGAGGGTCACTCTTGCTTTTTTCTGATGCGGAGAGAGTGTAACTTGCCCAAGATCACCAAATGGGTTTCCATGATTGAGCAGGGATTCAAACTTAGATCTCTAGAGTCATAGTCCAACACCCAAATCATAGCTTCAATATTATTCCTGTGTATGTCACCAACAGGACTCTGGTTAATCACAACAAACTATGCACGCTTGTGTGTGCTTTGTTAGGCGAGTAGGCTTATTAACAAAAGACCCTCCACATAAATGCACAGCAGAATAATTTATTAACAGCAGCGTGACCCAGCAGCAGTAGCCCAAAGTGTTAAAAAGAACAAAACCACAGAGACCAATGTTATCTCTTCCATAGGAGGCTTTTCTTTATCTACATAAATAAAAATGTAATGTTTGTTTGTGGGATTAACATAACTCAAAAACCACTGGACGAATTGACACCAAATTTGGACACAATACACCTATCAGGCCAACAAGTGACCATCACTCATAAAAACACCGAAAAACACAGCAGAAGAGACTTAAAAAGCAAAACAAAAAAGCAAAAATTCATTACAACGCATGCACAAAACCACATATATACACAAGCACACATATTTTCACATATACACAAATACATACCCACACATATACACATATATAGATATACACACAAACAAAACACATATACACTGACGGCCACAGCAATGCATGGCAGGGGACAGTTAGTAGCAAAATAATATGGTTGCACTATTAACAAAAACAAGGTTTCCATAACAGAAATAAAATTCAACCTTCACACTGGAGCTTCACACACAAGGCCTTCTCATAATGAGGCCTGTCTTACACTCTGTGGCCTTTCTTTCTACTACCTCTGAGACGTATTCTCCCACTGAGGTTTACCTCAGACTGGCAGTTACTAAGCTACAGGCACACCTGGTTATATAGAACTGCAGCTTTTGCTGAGTCATTGCATCCATTTAACCCTTTCAGTGCTTGATTCACATTTTTGTAATTAAAAATACCTAGTTAATTTTGTATATTTCTGACATGCGTGTGCATGCATATACAGTTAAGTCTATTGATGGCATAACTGCATTAGCAGAGGAGGAGGAGGCAGCGGTGGCAGAGGAAACTATCCTCATCAGGAGATGAAGTTGCCCTGCTGGCTTCTCAACTGATGATGAGCCAGCAAGACATCTGCATCTCCTGAAGCTGCTGGCATCCTCTCATGCCACAATGCCTTGCAAAAATGGGACTTAAGCAGGCAACTATGAGCCTTACAGAAAATGAGATAAGTGAGAACAGAGGAGCCTTTCACAATTTTCAGCTGGAAATGGCCATTCCACATTTGAGCAAACTGTACATTCCCAAAGGGGAACTTACACATGTGTCACACACCAATAGGATGCTAACCTAGCAGAAGGCCCTCTCCTCTTGCTAGTGTTGAATACACTTTGGATGTCATTCCACAAAAGAGCCTCTGCTTCATTATGTGACTGCAAATTCCATGTTTGTGAACCATCTTCCTCCCCAGAGACATCCCCCATGCATTGATCAAGGATGGTCTTCAGTTGTATCCAAGAACCTCTCATCCTCCCTGGGGTGCTGTTTGTCCTCATCTGTTATAGGCGAGAGAACTTGAAAATGATTTTGTACCTCCAGATTAATAGAAGGATTAACAGAACAATGCCTGGCCCTCTTTTTTTTTTCTAAATATCACATTTTCCAAGCATCACTGTTCTCCACATTTGAAGTTACTTCCCCATAGTCCTGCCCTGAATGTTATCTGATTTGGACTGTGTATCTGAGGGCCCTTCCAGACAGACTGTTTTCCAAGGAGCACCCGCATTTAAAAAACGTGAATGTTCCCAGGAGCTCATCTACACACACCCCAGAAAGCATGTGCTTTCTAGGGTGGGTGTCCAGGTGTTCTTCCAGGACTTCCCAGGAGAACACAAGGACACTGTAACCCCCCTCCCCAAAAGCCCCCCAAAACAAAGGGAAAAAAACAAAAGAACTTACCCAGCCTTCATGAAATGGATGCCTGAGCTCTCCTGAGCTCTTCTCCTCCGAGAAGGCATGGAATAAATTTACTATCAAATTAATTTGCCACAAACCAGAGTTTTCCTGGTTTGTGATGGATTAATTCAGGTTTGTCTAGGACATCATCTGGACAACCCCCTTTTTATTGCATAAATTCCCATAATAAAGTGGCTGTCTGGATGCACCCTAGAATAGTCTGTTGGGCTAGCTTCCTAACATGAACCTAGGAGTTTCAAGTCAGAGTCAATTTGAAGGCAATCAGATTAAGAATGCACCATATCATTATGAATACTATCTTGCACCATTCTGAAACTCTGTAAAAATAAATGAATGACTGCATGCAAATTGAGCAGCAAAGTAAACCCTCTTCCTAGGAAAAGTGCATTCATTCTTGAAAAGTGCATTTATTCTTGGATCCACTGGGTGGCACAATACTGCTGCTGTCGAGGCAGAAGGCGCACTGCTTGAGTTCTGCATTCATCAGTGTTTTTGTCAGAAAGATGCCAATAAGACAAAAAAATAATAGGAGAAAATTAACTTTATGGTGAAATCAATAGGAACAGCCTTGGCTTCAGCACTGCTAATATTGATTTATGCTAGACTTGCACCTGGCCTGATGATGTTATTAAAAATTTCCAGCCAGCACGTTTCCATATTATGCCGTTTAACACAGGGATTGAATAGCATCCCACCTGATTCATATGCAGTTAAGGAAGCATGGTGGGGGTGCCAAGGAAACTGATATATAAAACTCTTGAAAGTGTACCTGATTCTGTTCACACTAGACTTACTAAGGCTATTTAAAAGTAGCACACTGCCCAAATCTTGTTAACAAAGCCCCTGGCAAAGAAGCTTCTTTTTACAAATTCTTTTTATGTGAACCCCATCCACCCTCTTTTCTCATCTTCTAGCTAGAGATGGTTTTGTTCTGTTTTGGTTTGGTTTCACAGCATTGACATTGGGAGGATGGTGAAGGAGAAAGACAGACAATCAGTTCTGAATTGCAGCAGCATGAGTTCAGTAAACAACACAATAAAGCTTGACCTAGGAAAGAATAGGACTCTAGCTTAGGAGATTGCATTGTAACTATGTATGCCTACATACAACAGCTGTCTCCAGAATAATTTATTCTACATTTCTATAGACGAAACAGAAAGGAGAGTCATGTTTAAAAAGCACAGATCTATAATCTTCACCACCACAATGGAAATCCTAAGTAAAGTGGAGGCTGTTGAAAGAATAAGCATCATGTAGAGATAAACTTTGGAAAAAGAATTGATGTGATCTCTGGAAGATTCAAAATGTTCTTGTTTATTTATGCAGGTGTTATCTGACCTGGTTATTTCATTTCACATGTAGTGTAGGAACTTATCCCTGTTCTTTCCATGTCATTTCCACTTGTGGTATCAGTTTAAAGAAGTAAAGCACAGGGACACATGGGCTGAGGTAATTTCCACACTCAACCAAAGCCCCAATGGGTAGAAGATATTGAACCCATTCATCTCACACAAATATAGTGCTATGTTTTCTAAGTGCCATGGCAACATCTGATGAAATTGGGAAACTTATCATGTGATGAGGCACTAGTTGCCAGAAAGAAGTGCCCAGCCATATGGATCAGGGATCAGCAATGGGGCAGCTCATCCCCCAGAACTGCTTCCCTTGCTGGCAAACCACTACCTCTCTGGCAACATGACACAATCAGTCCTTGTCTCATCAGTGGTCCCATATGGCTCAACACCTCATTCTGATGCCAATGGGAATGGCAGCAGAGCCAGCAGGGTTCCAGGGTGGTGCCTTTGTCAAGAAGAG